CCAAAAACAATCTGACAGTTCTTGAAAGATTTAAACTTTGAATAAAGGTAAAAATTTAACTATACATTTTATTTCTTAAAAAAAAACCAACAAGATTGCTAGACTCAACACTAATGCAAAAACCAGTAATTGTTTTAAAATCCTAACACCTAACAAAAAGAGTTAAAATGGATAACAGTAGTTATTAAAAGTACTATATAAACTCTAAACTACATGAATACAGATAACAGAGGAAGAATTGATGCCTTTGAGTCATGGTATTGGAGAAGAATACTGAGTATCCCATGGATTGCCAGAAGAGCAAACACGTCTGTCTAGGAGGAAGATGCAACCAGGTTGCTCCTTATAGGCAAGGATGGTGGAACTTTGTCTCCACATACTGTGGGCATATTGTTAGGAGCGGCCAGTCCCTGGAAAAAGACTTTCATGCTTCAAAAGACAAGGGTCAATAATAGAGGAAGATCCTCAACAAGATGGATTGATACAGTGACTGTAAAAATGACCTCAAGTATACGATAGAGATGAGGCCAAGGTTCAGATCCACTGAGTATGAAGTTGTAATAAGTCTTAGTTGACTTGATGGCACCTAACAACAAGGATATAAATTCAAAGGGAGTTCTGAAGGCATAGTGGTTAAGGAGTTGTGCAGCCAACCCTAAGGCAGGTGGTTTGGATCCACCAGCCACTTCTTGAGAGAAACATGGACAGTCTCCTGCCATGTGATTTTTCAGCCTCTGAAAACCCTCTGGAGGAGCAGCTATGAATCAGTTCCAACTTGATAGTACACAACAACAACACGGTCACTTAACTGTTAATCAAAAGGTTGATGGTTCAGTCCTACACAATGGCTCTGCAAGAGAAAGACCTGAATATCTGCTTCTGAAAAGAGTGTTTAAAAAGGAAGACTGTCAGCTCTGCTCTATTACTGGTGTTACCACAAGGCAAGATCAATTCTCTTAAGAGCAACATACAAATGGAGAACTATGTCATGTTTAGAAATAAGAACAGGACTACAGGACTTTAAAAATAATAAGGAACCTGGGGGTGTAGTGAGTTAAGGATTGGTCTGCTAACTAAAAGGTCAGCTGTTCCTCGGGGGAAAAAACGAAGCTCCAAACTCTGTCAAGATTTACAGAAACCCAGTGGAGAAATCTCTGCTCTAACTTATAAGGTCGCTGTAAGTCACAATGGGTTTGACAGCAGTGGGGTTTTAAGTTTCTGTAAATATTTCCATTCTTTCCAAATAGACCGTGAACATTCTTTGCAATTTATTATAAAAATTCCAACAGAGTTATTTTGCTTTTGGGGAAATTGAAAATATTCTAAAATTCATATAGGATCACAAAAGGGGAAAGAATCAAAATCATGTAGAGGAGTAAAAGGAGAGGAGAGACTTTTTAAAGCAATAGGAAGACAAAAGGAATATTTCCCCAAGAGAAATGAAGACTAATTTTAAAGTTATAGTATATGGGGATTCAATCCATACTTGAATATTTGAATCTTTAAATACGGTTGAAGCTCAACATCATGAAAACAAAGATTCTAACAACTGGGCTGATGGGCAACATCGTGATAGATGATGAAGAGATTGAGATTATTAACAGCTTCAGTTTGCTTAGCTCCACAATCAATACTCTTGGTACTGGCAGCCAGGAAATTAAGAGACGAAATACATTGGAAAAATCTACTCTCAGAGATCTCACCAAGTACTGAAGAGCAACAATGTCATTCTGGAGACTAAGGTGGTCTTTGCAATAACTTGCTACACATCAGAAAGCAGGACAATGACTAGAGATGATAGATGAATTGAGGCTTTTGAGCTGTGGTGCTGGAGAAGAGTATTAAATATACTATGAATGGCTAGAACAAACAGGTTCATCCTAGACAGGGTGAAACCAGGTTGTTCCTTGGAGGTAGGATTCTGAAGCTTCATCTGACATACTTTGGACATGTTGCAAGGAGGGACGGCA